TTATGTAAACACAGGTTCTGCTAGTTGTAATATTTTATTTTTCTAATCATAACTCATTTTGTTCAATGTCTGTCTGTGAGAAATACAAAATTTACCCACCCACAAACATTTCTTTGCATTCCAAAGGATTTACAAAGAAACAACAGAGAAGGAATGAATATCCCTGACTCTTTGTCAGGAATAACTTCTATTGCCATCGACATCTATTTGAAGTCTGCTAGGATCAATGAAGTGATAGCTTTATTTTAAAAGCCTGGCTAGCAACTGCTATAATATAGAATCTCTCTTGAAATAAAAATAAAGTTGTCTGTAATTTTCTTGATGGAAACGATTGTCTATAATTTGGAATTACTCAACACCACAGAATATCATTTCGTATCACGTTAGGAGGAATGCCATTTTATAAGGGCAAGCTATAGTAATACTGCATCAAGAGCAAAGAAGTTCTGAAATTACTACTACAGGCCATAATGGAAAGCAGACACTGATGCTTTCAGAAGTAACTAGGTGGAATGAAATAATCACCATAAAGCATTTATAATACTGTCCTATGAAAGAAGTAATTTTTTAACTGATGAGAAATAATTCCTTCTATTTTCCTAAACATGAAATGCCACCACATCATAAAAACAAACTATAGCACATGGATCATTCTATTTTGTTCATCCTTGTATTCCTACAATACGCATGCACTGTACTCTGTAATAATGAAAACATGATGCTTGCTCACTATTCACAATGTTGTTCAGTCATCAAGGCTCACAAGGTTCCCTGGAGAGACCATTGCCAAAAGTGAAGCCAGTCTTAGGCCGAGGATGGGACTGAGCGGAGCTCTGCAACATGCCATGGCCGTCACTGTACCCTGTCCACGTGCCTTTACTCCAACACGATGAAGAGACTGGTTCCAACTTGACAATCGTGACCTTTCTAGGAGCAAGGGGAGCTGTGGCATGGACCCGTAAGTTTGCTGGACAGCTCTCACCCACATAACTCTCCAATCTGCCTCCCCTTTTCTTTTCTGTGCCTTTCCTTCAATCGCTCATCAGCACCCCAAATCCAGTAAGAGAAGTAATAACAAATTTGGAGTTTAAAAAATCATTGCCAATACTTGTATTTCTCTCACTGACCAGTTTTACATTTCCGATCCCAAAGTGAACTTTTGTCACTGAAAGTGTGGGTGGGAAAGGTATTTTACAGCTTTTATTCAAGCCGCTGTGCTTGAATACCAGCAATGTTTCTTACATTCAAAAAACATTTGGCCACTTTTATTGTGCTGATGAATGGAGCACTGGGAAACACAATTGTGTTGATCAACGTGCTGTGACCCCAATGCCTGGGGCACTTTGAAAAGGGAGCTGTGGGCAAATCTGTAGGGTCCGATGCAAGTTCTGACTCCTTCAGAAAGTCTAATTTTCTTCTCTCTTTAATCCTCACTTCCCTTACCATAATCCATCTAATCTAAGGAACTGGCAACTGTAAACCTCATCTTTAGTTTGTGTGCCAGGAGGAAAGGAGGAAAAACTTCTGCCAATTACCCTATGTACCACCATTCATTTTCAGATGCAGCTCAATTTCAAAGATAATAGTTGTGAAAAATGCATCACAGAATCAAATAGATGCAAGATTATACTAATTTAGCACGGTTGGCTACTCTATTATTTTCTAATTATAGCGTGTGTATATATTGTTTTTAACATTATTTTATGCTGTTATACTTTGTTTTTACAATAGTGGACATCTAGTGACACGGTTGTAGGCACACAGGAAGTGATAAATGTATATATTTTTTCAAGCTGATTTGTTAGGAGCTAATCCAGACATCATACCACTCCATGGTTCAATCCATCAAGCAGTGTTGTGCAATTGCTACCCAAATCCATTTTAAAACCTTAACT